GGTGAAGATTTCACTTGGTATTCGACTGGCAATATCACGGTATGACAACACCTCACTCACCTTACAATTCATGGGCTTGATTTATACAATAGTGGYACTCACTTTCTGTGTGTCCTTAGGCAAGGCAGTATCTAAGCCYGCCATATAAACACTTGCAGATAAGATTTCCACACATTAGCATGTTTCGTTTCTAATGTTTTTAACATGTTTGTCAAATTGTTCTTGTTTTGCTCTTGCAGGCTCCTCAGCCTAGATGCTCTGAGCCCTGCCCAGGTGGTTCGGAAAAGAAGATTTTAAATGTATCCTGCTGTTACAACTGCACCCAATGTGTGGAGGGGATGTACTCGGATGATCCAGGTATCCCAGATTTGCATATCATTTTTATCTTCTTTTAATTGTAGTTTCAAAATATTAAAATGTTGAAACCAGCTTGAGATACTGATGCCCAAATTAATGTAAATTAAACCGTGTATGTATATTTTCCTTAACAGAGCTTAATAACTGCAAAATGAGTCCCAGTGGAACTTGGTCTCTCAAGGGTTGGGACCACTGCCAGCCAAGATCGGAGTCCTACCTGCGATGGAGCAATCCTTATCCCATCGCTGTCACCACAGCGGCAGCCCTAGGCATTTTGCTTTTGCTTTTTACCTTGATTATCTTTTTGGTGTACAGATATTCCCCAGCTATAAAAAAAGCTGAGTTGAGATTGTCCTGTGTGATGAAGGCTGGTGTGGCAGCGAGCTTTGTAAGCATGCTATGCTTCATGGGCAAGCCTAGTGTACACCTCTGCCGGGCCCGCCAAGTCGTGTATGCCATGAGCTTCACCTTGTGTGTGTCCTGCATCGTAGTCAAGGCCTATCGGACCTTCCTGGCCTTCTTCCCCCTTGACCATATAACAAGCAGGCCACTACACAAACTTTACAAGCCACCTGTGATTATCAGTGTGTTAACTGGTGTCCAGGGGATCATCTGTCTTCTCTGGATGATCTTTGATTCTCCCGACATTGATGACACACTTCCATCCCTGCAAAGCATAGAGAAGATAATCCAGTGCACTGAAGGTGAGACGTACATAGGTTTTGGTATTCTGTTGAGCTACATAGGTCTACTAGTATTTGTTTGCTTCCTCTTGGCCTTCAAAGGCAGGAGGGTTCCTCAGGAGAACAGTGAAACAGGCTACATCATTTTCAGCATGCTAATGCACTTGTTTGTATGGGTGTGTTTTATCCCAGTCTATATTACCAGAAATGAAGAGGGCACTATTGTGTAGGCGTCAGCCATTCTAGTATCAAGCTATGGAATCTTCTTCTGCCATTTTTTCCCCAAGTGCTATGAAGCATTTAGGGGGTCAAACAGGGACCCCCGACCAATCAGGCTTAGAAATAACACAAGGATAAGGAGTACATCGTTTTA